TTCACTGACTTTGAGAATCATGACATCACACTCAAATTAGCATTTTGGCCTCTCCTACTTGATATCACCAAGGCACCTAAAGGACTACAGATGGAATCGATTGAGCTCTCAGTAGATGACATTTTGAAGTCATTGTTTGATGCTAAGAAAGATCCAAATGAAATAGGGAAAGATGCAGTAGAATATCCATGCCTTTGGCAACATGCCTGAAAAATGCTTTATTGATTTTCAACCACTTATTGCTGCAAATCTACATTCTCCTACCTAACCCAAATCAAGACACCCTTAAAGTCACAAATGACTGATACCCATTTAGAAGATCGACTGAAACTGTGGACCTCCATGCGGCTACCAAATATTCAAGTGCTTTCCAACAAACAGCAGACAGAACAAAGTCATTAAAAAGTTAGTTAACTTTAAAATTAACAAATAGTTTTCATTTTTTTGAAGTTATTAAGTACATAGTAGTTAGATTTTTACAAAATAATGTACAATTTTAAGTATAAATAATTGAAATTTCTTGAATGTGGCCTTGCTTGATTACAGCTAAATTAATGCAGCCTCCAACACGAAAAGGTTCCCCACCCCTGCCATAGACTATATAGGCCAAAGAAGCTAGACTGAGGAAACAAGGGCTGACCTGCCTGGCTTTGCCTCATGACACAGAGCTATCACCTACCTGAAAGGAGGTAGGAAGATAGCTGGAGAGTGGGATGGTGATAATTTTTGACACAACTAGAAAATTATTATCTCCTCAACTTGCACATGCAGTTAGAGATCCCAGCTCCCAGAAGACAGCGGGCAGGAAAAGAGTCTGACAGTGGGCACCCTGTTTGGGTAACATCCTGGGTAATGTCCCCAGAAGTAATACCCTGAAGGTAAGAAGATAGAAGAGTCTGGTAACTGTACACTGGGGTTCTTTTAGCCTGTCAAATAACCAGGTAGCCAAAAGAGAAGAAAACAGAACTAGGTCAATCAGGGTCAACAGACTACAGGCCAACTTAATGCCTAAAAGCCACCTCAGTGAGTTGTGTGCATCAATCTGACCTCAAGCTACAGATCTGTGACCCAAGGCCAGGAGATGGCCTCACACTCTGTGTGGGCAGATCCTTCATTGCCTGTACTCAGAGGAAGAGTATGTAGCTGGTAATGATTTCATATAAAAATATTTTAGAAAAGTTCTGTCTATTCAGAAAGATTCATGGAAAGGGTGGGTTCTGTGAACAGATGTGTAGAAAACCAAAAGAAGAAATGAAGGACACTGGGATGAAATAAAAGGAAAAGAAGACGAGTGGTAGAAAAACAATTGATTAGGGCAATTAGGTCTTGACCTCAAGTAGATCTGGGTTTGAATTCTGGCTCTTTCGTTTGTTAAATGTGTGGCTTTGGGCCAATCACTTAACTTCTTTAAGTGGTTAAAGAAGTTTGCATTTCTTCATCAGTAAATGGGGATCAAGAAACCTATCTTGCAAGGTTACTCTGAGCTTTAATGCTTAGAACATGTGCGATAAAGTATAGGAAAAGCACCAGAGCAGGGCGCGGGCAAGCAGTCAGTATTTAATAAACAGTGGTCATTATTACACCAACAAGCCTAGAAGAAAAGGGAACTGATGGAAGCCAAGAAAAGACTGCAAAAAAACTAAAAACACAATCAGTATTTATTGCACAATAAATATACATGAGTCTACACTGCAGATCCTAAAGAGCAGAACTAAAGCTACAGAAATGTCTAACTGGCAATGCAGAGGAGCTCCAGAAGGCTGAGAAAAAGGACTGACAGCTGAAATGGATGAGAGAAAAGCTGAATCAGTGAGTCAACCTATTAATTAAAGATATTTTTGGAATATAAATCAAGCAGAACAAAAGCAATAAGCTTAAGTGTGAACAAGGAAAACTTCCTGGAGTGAATAATAATCTCGGCATGCAGTTAAAGGACTCACTAAATTTCAGACAAAATTAGTTTGAAAGCATTTTAAAGACTCACACCTAGATATAATTCAGCAAAAAAATTAAACTATGGAGATAATTTTTTAAGTGCCTCCAAAAAAAGGTTCCAGGAACCCCCTTAACCAGAAAGATCTTTCAAACATTCCACAAGCTGTTCCGGAGCATAGAAAAAGACGGAAAAACCATCCAAATTATTTTATGACGTGAGTATAACCAAAACAACAAAATCTGACAGAAAAAAGAAACAACCAACCCCACTTTCATTTCTGAATTGATGTAAAAATCCTAAATAAAACCCTACCAAACTGAATTCAGCAGGATAATAAAAATATATATCCATGATCAAGTTGGATTTAGCCCCAGAAAACAAAGATGGTCCAAGATTAGTATTATCTACTAACATAACATAGTACCAGAATATAAGACAACTCTATTATAAGGTAATCCCCATTTTCTCAGTGAGAAGCTCCAAATATTATTTCTGCCAACTTGAATAAATAAAATATTATAGATGTTTATGAAATAGTCAACCGTTTTAAAATATAATTATGCATGCACATTTGAAATAGCATAATAAAATACTGACTTTAAAATATTTTTCCATTCTCACGATCATGAAAAAATTTATTCCACTTCTTCCCATGAGTTCTTGACATCAGTATCTTTGTTGTCACAAGAGCCATTTTGAGATATTCAACACAGTCTTCCAGAGTTACCATCTTCACTTCTGTCTGAACACTTTTTAGCCCTTGTATGATACATTAATCCATATATGCTTTCATTTCAAGAAATCATTTGTCCTGAAATTGTATAATTGTGACCTCTACAACAAAGACTTGTTTTATAAACTTACGACTTCTCATTCTTGCAACTGTGAGGTCATTTCTCAGGAATAATTACTAAAACAGTGTTAAATGTTCTGGCCTCCTTTTTTATTGATTCTTTCTAGAGATCTCTATAGGCATTCAAAACCAGCACTGATCAAAGTGCTAGACTCGGCTCTTCAAAATAATGTAAATTGAAAAGCACTCCTAGGATATGAGTGATCTTGTCAGGAAAGTATAACATATCTCCCTCTTTTCTAAAGGGTAAGTTTTGGGGCGGGAGGGAAACAAATTTTATCTTATATCTAATCTTTTTCACAGAAGGGCATACTTAGAAAATTATAGTATTTGGATAGCACTAAAGTAACTGAATAAGGCTGCTCAGGGTAGACACTACCCCCAGACATGCCCAGGGTCTCCGCAGTAGATCAATATTGCAGACACCCTGGGAAAAGCTCTGCTATATCATGAGACCCAGTAAGAACATAAGATCATCATCTCAGAGGCAGGATACTGCTGTGAAGCCAGAAACACTAAAGCCTGCCTCTGCCTGCCTGCGTGACCTTGGACAAGTTACTTAGCGTCTTTGTGCTTCAGTTCTCACATCTGCAAGATGAGATAGTAACAGTCCTCAGAGAATTAGTTATTGTCAGGATTAACTGAACTAATTCATGTAAAGCACTTAGAACTGTGTCCTGTACATAGCAGGTGCTCAATAGATGCTAGATGCAATAACCATGCTTTATTAAAAGCAAAGCAAAAAAACTCTTAAAAAATAAAACAAAACAACTGAGTAGAATACCAAGATTAATTCCCCAACATGTCACCTCACCCCTACACAGTCACTTTACAGTAAAACTCACCAGATGACAAGCTGTGACCTCACACTTGGAGTTTCCAATCAAATTTTTAGATTTTAGCCAAGGATCACTGTGGATTTGAGAAAGCTAACCTCAGGAAAGACAGACTAAAACAAAGATACAAACAAACAAACAAACAAACAAGAGAGCTTAAAAGGAAGAGAGACAATGTTGAGAATATAACGATATTTTTAAAAAATATGTATATGCGTACATGCGTACGCATATGTATACACACACATACATACTCACACATATGAAATTAATGTGTAGGAGCACAGGCTTTGGAAAAACAAGTTATTACATCTATAGAATAAAAAGAGAACTTTACAAAAAAGGAATTATCAGAAAACGAGACAGAGTTCTTGGTAATTAAAACATGGCAATTGAAATAAATTCAATAGAAAGTTTACAAAACAATGATAAGGAAATTTCCCCAATAGTAGAAGGAAAATGAAAATAGGAAAGGAAAAAAACTAAGAAAATTAGAGGATTGATCTCATATTCAAATAACAGGAGTTCTGCAAAGAGAGACTAGGAGAAAGGTGTGATGGAGGGCTGAGCAATTCCAAAGTAAATAACACCAGGAAATTTCCCATAACAAGGGATCTGCACTTTCAGATCGAAAGTGCTCTCTGAATACTCAGCACAATGAATAAACAAAGATCTACACCGAAAGTACATCATGGTACAATTTTCGAAAACTGTGCCTAATGAAAGGGAAAAGAATCACATATATAACAGACTAGGAATCAGAAGGGCGTTGCCATAACAAAAATGATTTCCAAAAGTTATCTCTGGGTCCTGAAATTATGAGGGTTTTTTCTCCTTCTTTTCTGATTTTTCTATAACCAATATGTATGACTTTTATTGTCAGAAAACAGTTTTAATACAAAAAGAAAAAATCTAAACTTGGAGACTCAAGCCTAGATTTAAATGGCTCCATTTCTTAACTGTCTTCATAACACCACAGTCTGTTTTTGCACTGACACAAAGACCCCCCTAGCCAGCAGAGTTGTAGCCATGGAAGATGCCCGGGCTGTAGAGAGAGCTGAGGACAAGCCACTCCAGGCATTGGCTATCCGGCGGCCCTGCATATGACTGATGTCCACGCATATTCACTAGGTTAGCAAATGCTTGTTTTCAAGCACACTCCCAGAATATTTTGATATCTGAAGGAAGAGGAGGGAAAGCCCATAATTCCTTTTCCTCAGACACATTTCTATCCATTATTATCATGTCTCCGCTATTGCACTTAGCATTTATTTTAATAAGGAAATGCTAACTGCTCCAATCTGTCTTCATTCCACTTATTGAATGCCACGTCCCAGGCTTTGCCAAGAGATGATTTTCCTATCGACAGGCTTACCTGTGGAGAAGATGAACACCGTGTTGTTCCAGAGCCCATGGCTTTTTAAGGCTGCAGTGACATTTCCCACGGCTTCGTCCATAAGGGACACCATTCCTGCATAGTGACGCCTGTTCTTGTCTTGGATAAAGTCGTATGGCTTCAGGTATTCCTCAGGCACCTGAAGGGGCTCGTGGACAGACTGGAGCGCAAGGTAGAGAAACAGAGGCTAGAAAGAGAGTTTGTGCAAATCAGTCAAGAAGGCACGGAAGCATTAAATGTACAAGGATAAGAAAGTTCAAATTTATCAGTTAATAAAAATAGTATCAAGATAACCTACAAGATGCATTGAAAATATTTGTGAACCATATGTGTGATAAGGGACTAACATCCAGAATATATAAAGAACTCTTACAACTCAATAATAAAAGACAATTAACCCATCTACGAAATGGGCAAAGAATTTGAATAGATATTTCTCAAAAAAAGATATAGAAATGTTCATAAGCACATGAAAAGATGGTCAACATCATTAATTGATGGGGAAATGCAAATTAAAAACCACAGTGAGATAACGCTTCACATCTGTTAGGATGGTTAAAACTTAAGAAATGGAAAATAACAAGTGTTGGTGAAGATACGGAGAAATTGGAACTCTGCTCATTGCTAGTAGGAATGTAAAATGGTGTATATAGCCACTTTGAAAAATCAGTTTGGCAGTTCCCGAAATTGTTAAACATAGAGTGACCACACAACCCAGCATTTCCGTTCCTAGAGAAATGAAAGCACATATCCACACGAAAACTGGTATCAATGTTCATTGCAACATTATTCATAATAGCCAAAAAGTGGAAACAACCCAAATGTCAATCAAGTGATGAATGGATAAACAAAATATGGTATATTTTCAGCAATATATGGCAATAACAGGAATAATACATACTGCAACATAGATAAACCTTGAAAACATTATGCTAAATGAAATGATTCAATCATACAAGACCACATATTATATCATTTAATTTACATGAAATGTCCAGAATAGGCAATCTATAGAGACAGGAAGTGGTTCGCTGGAGCTATAGAAAATTGTGGGAGAGAGGAATGGTCTAACTGTAACAGGTACAAGCTTTGTTTGGGGGTGATGAAAATGCTTTAAACTTAGACTGCAGTGATGGTAGCACAACTGTGAATTTATTATTGACTGTATGCTTTAAGTGGGTGAATTTTATGGTGAGTAAATTATGTGTCTCTAAAGATGTTAAAAAATATAAAAGACACAAGATGAAAGATAAAAAATAAAAGCCAAGAGTCCTAGAATGGCATAGACAGTCTTGATTCAAACAAATAATAATATCAATAATATTAATAGCAACCATATATCAAATGTTGTCAATGTACTAGATGACAATAATTTACACACTCTACCTCATTTAATACCCCAAATCACCCTATGTTATATCCATTTTACAGATGAGTTAACTGAGGTTTAGTAAGGTTACATGACTTACCCAAGTACACATTAATCGAAGAGCAAGTTCCTATTGGAAAACCCACTATTACAATGTGGGTATGTACCAACAGATGCTTTTGCTTTAGCTGAAAATAAGTCCCCATCTTTTAAGAAAGGTTTAGGATTTTTTGATATATTTTATGAGAAAACAAGTGAACACTATGCCATGTTAGTCTTTGATGTAGGAACAAACATATGACCAATTTAATTCCTGGAAACTAAGACATGTGATATACTGATTCTATTTTCCTTCTTACATCAATTTAAAGCATTTAACATTAGTGACAGTCCAGGTCAGCCTCTCCTTAACGGCTCCTTAATGAGCCTTTCTGAAGGCTTCCTCTTCATTGTGCTCCTATAGAATCCCTTAATGAGCTGAAAACTCTCAAAGAGACAACTGGTCCAACCCAGGAATAAACACATAATTCTGTTAAAGTATGTAAGACATTTAAATCTCATAAATGAATGGGAAAAGGTTAGAGAGCAGACTTGGCGGGGGGCTTATATTTCATTCTTCATTGTTTATAAGTTATTTTAAATTATATATTATGTATCTCTGTGATAGAGTAAGGAGCTTCCATCAATAGTGCTCAACTAGATGCCCAAAAGTTTATTTGTAGTTTAGATCTTAGGAACGTAGAACTATGTTTTTCTCAAAATCAAAAAGTTAAAAATAGCTGTTAAATATAAAGTCACCGCTTTCAAACCTATTTAACTAAGGAGGTAGGTGATGGAACGAAAACAATGATGATGTAGAACTTGTGCTGCATTTGTACGTTATTTCCGTGGGAAAACATCCCAAATTCTCACTCCAAAAGTCTATACTACAACTTCTAATACTACATTAGTTCTGCCTCCACTCGCCCTCAACACACACACTTTCTACTCCAGCTGCATAAGTCACATGGGAACACTTCTGTGTTCCTGCAGCCCATGGTGAAGGGCGTCCCAGCAGACACCCTGCCCGGGTGGTGAGGAAGGGCCCAGCTGAGATGTCTGCATGGAAGGCCGTGCTGGGGTTTCTGATCTGACAGTGCAGTACGGGTCTGTGCTGGGAGCAGCCGTCGGGGTCTTCAGCACTAGACCAAGCCAGCTCCAGTCACCAGCCAAGGTCCAGATGGGGACAGGATTACAAATCAGAAGGCCACAACACTTTGCAGCCCACATAAAGTTTTAAAAATCAGGAAATATCACACGGAAATCTGCTTTTACACACATTTTCTTGAAAAAAATCAGAATTTCTAACAACTCCATGTCCATACTCTATCTGGTAACAAAAGGCTGGAGTATGAGAAACAGGAGCCCCAGCCCCAAGTGTGATCCAATTTTCTAGAATGTTCCCACTGTTCTACATGAGCTGCTTTACTTACTCAGGTTAGCAGCCTGACCCTTGCAAACATGAGAGTTTGTGACCCTGGTCTGGGCTCTCAATAGTGGGCAGAGGGGAGGAACGAGAGAAGAAGCCCACAGCTTAAGGAGAAGATGTTCTCATCTAGCTCATTAGCAGCAACATGGCAACCCACACAGTGGAGGAGAGAAAGGTGAGAGAGGGCAGGTGATTCCCAGTCAACAATTGATTCCAAACAGCAATAGCCGGGGAGGGTGGTGGGATAGAGTTTGCGAAACAGTGCCAGGGGAAATAATTATTCTGGGACTATCATTGAAGGGTCCTACAAACATTCAGTATGAAAAGCTTTCACTCATTTTGTTAAATATAACAAAAAATAATCTGAAAATCTTTCCAATAATTATTGCTTAGTGGTCAAAGACATTACTATCACTCTTAAGGGGTTAAAAATGTAAAATTGTAGCAGTCCCTATCAGTCCAATAGTCAGACTTCTATAGATTCAAATATAAGGAGCATAAATGAGAAAAGGAAGTGAAAAAAACCTCTGAGGGGTGAGGACCAGCCTGTCATTTCACCGTCACAGGCCATGCAAAGGGCTTGCACTCCCTGCTGACCAGATCCTAATAACTTCACGGTATAGATAAAGAAAGTCCTTGAACAAAAAAGGTATCTTTTTTCCCATCTCCTCGGCAGCAGTTGGCTATTCAGTGTGTGGCAGGCAGCCCTGCACACTCGGCATGGCTGTGGTCCCCAGGAGGAGGCAGAATGATGAGCAGTGCAGCCCATTTCTAGAGGTGAGGACCAACACAACTCATTTTAGATATTTCCATCCCATACTGCAAAAAATAAAGTTTTAGCACTCAGAAGATAGACTTTATTTGTGAAAGAACTCAATACCCGACAGTGCTGAATGGGAGGCATTTCTATACTATTTTAACATTGAAAAAAAAAAAAGGAGAGAAAGAAGTGTATTTAGTACTACACGGTGACCCAGTGGAAAGAACAATTAACTAGGGCACCGGGGTTCTCCAACCACAGAGAAGACCCCCCCACCTGCAGCCACTAGTCTTGGGACCTGCCTAAGAACAGCTGTGGCCAATTCCCCAGTCCTGCCAACCAGAGCCCCAGCTCACCATCAGCCGAAAGCAAAGCAGCCGCCATCCTGGGGCTGGGCTCATTATTACTAGATGTCCACTGACGAGAGTTCCAGCCCTCCCATGCCTTGGCCTTTGGAGGCCTGCTGGTCCACACCAACCTACTGACAGCCCGATTCCCACACTGGGGTCCTGGGCCCGAAGTCCACCGCCATCTGTCTCTGGGTTTGGGCTACAGCCTGATCTCCCCTTGCTTTTTCTTGGGTCTACATCCCTGATCAACTCAATCTCAGCCTTGTATCAAACCTAAGTGTAACCTTTCAGGTGTCCTAGGAATAAAAAAATGGAATCCTAGATGTGAAATCATGACTGAATATTTAAGAATTACATAAAAGTAAGACATTATTACCTAAGACGATTACTATGTTCATGTTTAAGCTGCTAAGGCTTCTGTTCCCTTTCTTAGTATGCCATATGGCTCCTAAGATACATGCTATAAATATCCTCACTGTGCTAAGAAACCTTATTTTAGTGAGGAAGAAAGCCTTATTTTTCATTTCTTTACTATGATTTCCTAATTTAAAGCATAAATGGAAAAAAAAGCACAGAGTCAGTTTTGAAATTATTTTTCTATCTTTGCCTTCCAAATTAAGACATTCCTTCCCAAATTGTGTCAGGGAAAAATAGAGTCTACCACTGGAAATTAACATTTTCTTTAGGAAGCTTCTAGTAGATTAGGCATGTGAGATAACATTCGTTTTTATTCTATGCTGTGCTATGGAGGGGCTGTTTTTAACAGGAAGGTATTTTATGCATATGTTGCTTGCACTTTGTAGTGTTTCTGTTATGGAGAATTACCCTGCAGAAAAAGAGAAAGGACCTGAATTCTTAACACACGTGAGAGAGGACATGCCTTCTTAACACATGTAAGAAAGGACATGTCTTAACACATGTGAGAAAAGACATGCTTTCTTAACACATGGTTGTCAGCAGCATCTCCCTGAGTCCAGCATCAACATGTTTCAGTTACAAACTACCTCCATATGCTTCTTTCCCCTCAAGGATTTAAAATAGACAAAATTTTAAGTTGGCTTGTGGATGCATCATGTGCATTTCTCTAATGATTTTCATCTTAGAACAAGTTGTCTACGTTACAATCTATATATAGCACATGAGAAATTAGCACAGGATTAGATTAAACATTAGGATAAACTGATGAGAAGTGCGGCTCCTCAAACCGGGGAGATGCATCATTTTGTTGAGAACTGAAAATGTAAACATCTGCCTCGGCTATCATCAACAAACATGCTTGGGTTACTACTTGACTAGTGATTGTTTCATTGGTTTATGTCTACGCTTGAAACTTCCCTTTGGGGATACTGGGAATTCTGCTACAGAACGTTTCAGATGCTGTAGGGAAATGACCAGCCTCTCATCTGGCAATTTCCAAACTGTTACCTGTGAGCAGCTCCACGCTGACACCACTCCTCCACGGCTTGCAAGCTCTTAGGCGGTCCCACTGTCTTCAGTTCCTGCGCTTTCCCCACCACCCGGGGAGGACAGCCCACCCACAAAGAACTATTTCACCCCAGCTGCTTCCTCTTATCTGCTTAATGTTCCCAGAGCCCTGTAAGAGAATACTCTATTGTCCCTTAATGAGTTTTTTTTTATGGGAAGCTTACAGTTGTTGCTTGATTAAAGCATTGTTAGACCGTGAGTCTGTAAAAGGTAGCTGGCTCCTGCTTGCCTCTCTGTGTTGGAGAGAGTGGGGCCCTGAATGGCCCATTGTGGAACGCTCCTAACTGCACACGGTGTCCATAGTGGCTGCAGGTCACAATCACTGGTAGGCGTGGGGGTGGAGGCAAGGAAACACCACCAACAGGGTCCTACCTCATGCCAATGGATCATAATATCTGGCATCGGTATATCTTACAAGTTTCCCAGATGATTCTAACATAAGGTCAGGATTGAAAGCACTAAGCCCAATCATGAGCTGGGACTCAGAGTCTCTGGTCTTGGATATTAGCTGTGAAGTAGGGAGGCTGATTAAGTGCATGAGGTCTAGAATCAGACAGCGTGAGTTTAAATCCTGATTCTGACTCTCAATAGATCTGTGACCTTGAACAAGTTACTTAACTTCTCTAAGCCAGTTTGCTTATGTGTGAAATGATGCTTCTCTTCAAGGATAATACACAGTTTCCTTAAGACCTTACCTAGTCCTTCAAGTGTTAAGCTGCATCTACGAAATGCCAAGTATATAAAAGAAAACTGAGAACTTAAGCCAATTACCTAGCAGCTATCTTTCTAACTATCTGTATGTTTGTTTAGATCTAGATTTAAAACCTGTGTATTTCTATGTATTTGAGAGAATGTTCCCTTCTCTTCCTGTCCCACAACAAGCATGCTTGCTCCAAGATAGCAGCATGTGAGGGTGACAAAAGCCAAAAGTGGGGCAGAGCTGAGGACAAACACCAGGGAAGATCCCCACTGTTGACTTAGAGTAGGCAAAGAGGGCCAGGAAGAAGCCGAAAAGGAGTCAGTAGCCAAGTACTAAGTCCCAACAGGTATGTCAACCAGAATCTATGCTGTGACCTTGCTATAGTTTAGATGTTTGACCCTCCAAACCTCATGTAGAAATTTGATCCCCCATATTGGAGGTGGTGCCCAGAGGGTGGTGTTTGGGTCATGCGGGTGGATCCTTCATGAATGGCTTGGTGCTGTCCTCATGGTAATGAGTGAGTTCTTGCTCTATTTAGTTCCTGAAAAGAGCTGGTTTTTAAAAAGGGAGGTCCTGCCACCTCCCTCCTTTCTCCTTCTCTCCCTCTCTCACCAAGTGCTCTGCACACTCCAGCTCCCCTTCAGTGGAAGCTCCCTAAAGCCCTCACCAGACCCTGAAACCCTCACCAGAAGCAGATCCCGGTGCCATGCTTCTTGTGCAGTCTACAGAACTATGAGCCAAACAAACCTCTTTTCCTCATAAATTACCCAGCCTTAGGTATTCCTTTATAGCAACACAAATAGACTAAGATTTGCACCAAGAACCTTCAGCAATTGTGAAAGAGGCAAAGTGCAGGAAATTGGAAGAACCAGATAACATTACATGTGCTGTAATTTGCTGTGTCAGGGTCCCATTGAAGTAACCAGTTTTGTGGGTATACTAATACAGTTCTTCATGAAGCCATATTTTGAGGTCAAATATTTGACCCCATTTCAAAAGCGTTTATAAGCTAAATCCAGAGAATTTAGCTTAAACTTTAGCTCATAAGGTTAACTCTAGGTTAACAACAACAACAAAAATCCAAATAAAGGATCTCTAGACATAACAGAGACAAAACACCATACAGACTCTCTTCTATTTTTACCTATAGATAAGTCACAAGATGTCAGCGTATCACATAAACAATGGATTCAGTACACATATGTGAAAAACAGGCTCATCAGTAAACCAGTTTACAGATTGGAAAACTTCATATTGTTAAGACATCCATTCTCTCCAAGTTGGTCTAGGGATTCAATGAAATCCAAATCCAAGCATGCACTTTTTGCCTGGGGGCTGGGGAGTAGAAATTGTCCAGCTGATTCTAAAATTAACATGAGAAAGCAAAAGATCTAGAATAGCCAAATATTCTTGGGGTGGGAGGGTGGAATACAAAGTTAGAGGACTTTCCCTGAACCCAAAATTTGTGGATCCCTTAACAGAAAGTTTGCCATACTAAAGCCTCATCTTATACATCAGACAGTGGATCAAAAAAAAAGAGCCATTTTACTAATCACTCATAGCACATGCACCAAAATTTAAAAACTGTATTTCTGCTGGAACACTACAGACACATTATTCCTCAAAGTGTGATCTGGGGACCACTCTCATCAGAATCACCTTTTAAGAGTTTCTTTAAAATGCTGACATATGGATTTCTCCCAGACCTAATAAATCACACACTTGGAGGTGGGCTCCAGGAATCTTCATTTTTGATATGCTTCCCAGGCTGATTCTGATGTGCTCTAAAATTTGAAAACGACTTCCCTGGAATTCATTAGCTTTTTTTTCCCCTGAACAACAGTGGCCTTTTCCTACATTCACCTGAAGCGATGTTGGCTTAATAAGATCTTGATGTCAGTAAAGAAGCAAGACTTACCTTCTCTGGTGGATGGTTAGTTATGAGAGCTGTAGCCCTTTCAGTAAATACGTTTGTAGAATACATATTCTTGTAACCTGTTGCAACTTCTTCACCATCTCGAAAATCAAGAGCACATCGTGTGACGTTCAGAGCATTGATTAATGTGCAACGTTCATGGGAATAGTAATCTTCACTACCTAGGAGATATCCTATAACAAGAATGGAAGATGAAAATAGTAAGCATAACATAAAACTTGTTAAACTAATGTTTCAGTATTTAATTGCCTAATGCAATTGATTACCCGTGACAAGGCTAATCAAGTGACAAGGCTAATCAGAGCATCATTTCTTAACATCTCTATATTTGGCAGCAGAAGGTATTAAACATTCTTACATAAGAATTCGAATCCATTCCTCACTCAAGTCTTTAGAACGCAGGCTCTATCATGTAACTCTCAAAATGAGTAATTCCAAGTAAATACGTTTTTAAAAAATCAGAGTTCAAATTCAGTAAAGGTGATAACATCTTGATCTTTTAAAGCTACATAAGGATAAAAATAATATATGGTTAATGTGATTTGTTACAAGTTTTTACTCTAAGGTGATTGCATCAATGAGTGCAGAATTCTAATAATGTTGTTTGTTGTTATTGCCTTTGGGAGACTGGCTTCAAGGTTATTTATAGAAGCGGCTCTAGGAGTCATCTTTAGTCAGATGCTGACATCCACTGGTGAAAGATACAAACCTCTCCAAATACAGGATCTCCAGACACAACAGAGACAAAAGATTAAACCAAAATGTGGCGCTGAAATAAGATTTTTCTAACTATAATCATCTCAATTTTGCCCCAAATTTAAATGGCATCAACTGCCTATCCCACAACTCAGACTTCAACATGGAAGAAAATGGGTTTTCTCAACTAATAGTTGTTTCTGCAAATATTCCCTATTTTCCTGAAGTATTAAACTAAGCTGTGCTACATATGATTCCATTTATATGAAATGTCCAGAATAGGCAAATCCACAGAGATAGAACATAGATTAGCGGTTGCCTAGGGCTGGAGGGGTTGGGGGAAAATGAGGATGGGGATGGGTTTCTTTTTTGGGGTGATGAAAATGTTCTACAATTGGATTGCAATGATAGTGGCACAACCCTATAATTTATTAAAAATCATTAAATTGTACATTTTAATGGGGTGAATTGTATGGTATGTGAATGACACCTCGATAAAGCTATTAAAAAGAAATATGCTTTGCTGCACTCTCAGCTATCTCCTGACATATACTGCTTATTAACCTTAACATGAAGACGATAAAATTGGCCTAGCCCTTTCCCAGTCCTGAACTTTCCCTATAATGACAGTTAAGAGACTACATAGCCTACATAATACATCAATTCATTTTTAATTAAATCCTCCTTTTCCATAACAGAATAAATTCGAGGTCCTGAAAATAATTAATACCTTGGTCATAAGATAACTTTTTATGTGGTCATTTTTTTATATGGTATTTTTTTCTCCCGCATTTATAACAGAAAGGGAAATCCAAAGTTTTTGTTAATTAGTGTATAATAGAGAAAGGAATGTATCCTTAAAAATAATTTCCACCCTTATATGGGTGATAAGAGCAGTCAGGACACTGAAGTTCTATTTTAGGTTTTTAATAACTACTGGGTATTAGAGCTTGAGGAAACCACTTCAGGGTCTTTATCTGTAAATGTAAACTGTTTTCTATCAGCTGAGAGATTATATGCATAGGATATACTTGATTAGAAAATGTACAGACTATAAATATTAAAAAGATATTATAAATAGGAGAATTCCAGAAATAAAAGTATTATTCACAGGCTTGGCCGAACTGACACCAAGCAACCATGTGACAATCACATAGAGCTTTTCATCATAATGGTGATTCACAAATTTGAACTTTGATACTAAGCCTAAAGATGATGGCAGTCTATACTTTTTGGAGAAAAAATTAGAAAATATTTCTTGAACAACTAAATCTCTGAATGCTTTATTAACAAATATAGTGAGATCTAATTCATACACAAGGCATCCATTGAAAGTGTACAATTCATTGGTTTCAGTGTATTCAAAGGGTTGCGCAACCATTCCGCAATCATCTGACTGCTTTTTAACAGAAAATAAGAGTCACAGCAGTGACAACAGCTGCATGGTCATCATACCCTTCTTGGCTACAAGTCTCCCTTTATATAAATGTGGGGTGTTTGTTCATCTAAGTCCAGGTTAGGCTTCTTAATTCTCATAAAAGGATATCATTTCTACCTTTTGTACAACCAAATTTTTAAGTACATAACTTGATTTGAATAAAAAGTTCAAAATATCTACAGTCCACCCCCTTCTCAGAGTATATATTGACCCATCTTTTAAGCAAAGGCCTGATTGAAAGTTTCAAAGGATGTACAGGTTGTTTGTTCCTCTAGAATTTCTAAGATCACAAAGTGATCTTACACCCAAGTCTAGTTTTTAACAGCTATCTGAGGAAACTGAGAATATATCCAGGTTCATCAAGAAAAAATGCTACAATTGATTAGTGATGTCTGCTAGAGGACCTGAATGGGAGGGGGGCCACACGTCCTCTCCTGTCTGATGTCCTTGCATCTTGACTTTAACCCTAAGTCCAAGGAGGCGTTTCAGAGTTGTGTGCTTCAACTACATAGTTTCGGCCCCCACCTAATTACTTTTACTGAATTGCACTTTGGTGCTTTGGCCCTAGCTTGAATGGAAGTGAATACCTCAAGCAACACCTACAAGAAAACCACCACTTTATTATTAAAAAGGTATTTTTAAGGATGTTGTCCACCTTACCTTCTCCCAAAGGAAAAATTTCTCTCAGACCTAAGAGCCAAGAAATGTTTTACTCTTCCTGAACAGCTGGTTTCCATTTATCTTGTAAATAATGTAATTCTTATAGCCTTTTCCTTTTTTTTTTTGCTTTGGACATGAAAAAAATCTCAAATCTCAGAGTTAAATGTGAAAGCTGCTTACAGACATGTAGCTTTTTTGTAATTTGGTGCCATTAAACTATTCCGTCTTTTTCTATTCACCCTGATTTTTTATTCTATTTCAACTTTTTATGTTCAATATGTGTTCCTTTCGGGCTACAGCAGGTTGTGAATAAATGAAGAAACAGATGGGAGGTAGGTAGGTAGCTAGACAGAAAGATAGCTCAATATAAAAAGAACTTGACAGAAAGATATATAGCTACTGGCAAGATAAATAGGTTATTAATTAAGGCATGGTTTATAACAGGTTTAAAGAGGGCACATTTTAAAACAAATTCTAGGTTTCACATTTATTTTAGAGGGCTATCAAGTTTATAAAATACTTATTATATCTTATTATCCTTTCTATTACTATTTGTTATGTGCCCTCCCCATTTTATTTTAGTTTAGTTTTTGAGACAGGGTCTTACTCTGTCGCCTAGGCTGGAGTGCAGTGGCACGATTGTAGCTCAGTATAACCCCGAAACTCCTGGGCTCAAGCCATCCTCCTGCCTCAGCCTCCTGAGTAGCTAGGACTACAGGATGCATGCCACCACACCTAGCTAATTTTTTTATTGTTTGTAGAAATGAGGTCTCAATGTGTTGTCCCCCCTGGCCCATTTTATTTCTTTAAATCTATCTTCCTCAACCTAGGGATTTCAAAAACAGATCTCACAGATGCCAGAGGGATACCAATGGAAAAGAGTCTTCCCCCAGGCTCCCCAGGGTTGGGGGCGGGGGGTACCTTTGAATGCAGTCCACGGGGAGAAAAAAAATGTGCCAAACCTTTGTGAAGGGAATATTCTCATATTAGGTTTTGCCTGGAATTAAAAAAAAAAAAATTAATCCACATCCCCTTTTCGTACTAAGGTTCTCTGAAAAGTACGATGGTCTCTGACGTGGAGGTACTAAACGTTCCAAGGTCCTAAGGTGGCATTTAGTACTCCGGCAAAGGTAATTGCCTTGCTGTGGGCGCATGCTCGCCATGAGCTGAGCACAGAGCCACGTTTATGGAGGTAACATTAGAAAGTGGCCCACTATGGTGCCGGGTGATTCACTCTGCGTTCAAGTTTCCAGTTATTTCATTTGATTGCACTTGGGTGTGTTTTACGAGATGGCCACAGTTAGCCTGAGTTGTTAAAGAAACATGTGCATTTCCATTACCAAAGTAGGTGTCAAATCCTCGGCGGGTTGGAAGGCATTCTTTCCGGTACATTCCCAGGTGCCATTTTCCAACCATATGGGTAGTATAGCCTGCTTCTTTTAGCAGCTGAGGAAGGAGTTTTTCATCCAGAGGAACACAGCTGGGCTGACAGGGCCAGATTATTTCGTGCTGTAAACCCGTACGGATCTTAAAGAGATAAATATAAAATTATTGATTAATCACATTGAAACATTGTGAACAAGCAGATGAAGTAGCTACCTAATTTACTGGACACATCTGTTCACTTGGATGCTTTAACTCTATTCCGGCACTGGCTGAAGAATATTTCTGAGAGGCAGAATCCTCTTAATTGAATAAGGTAATGGACATAAATGGGATTTGAAAAGTTGAATAAAAGCATTCCTACATACATTAGATATTTTCAACAAATAATCATTAAGGCACTATGCCGGAAACCATTAACTTAAGTTTTCACTTCCAACCTAAGAAAAAGTAGCAATAACCTGAGGCATGGATCTATCAAAGAAAAAGTGTTCCGATTCCTGTGCACACAAGAAGTTGGTGTTTGATTGGAAGGAGCTTCTGTGATCTTCCAACGCTTGGTAATTTTTTAAAGAGGTATTTAATAGTATAATGAAACTGATGATTTGCATTTCTGATCCCACTTTATGTAAAATTATAATTTCGAAAGACAGTGATCAACTTTTCCTTTAAAAAGCAACCTTCTGACTGCTTGGGAGTCGCTTACGTGAGTATGCCCAGAGTACAAGGTCCATACAACAGCTAACCTTTAAGAAACGACCACTTGTTTTTTGGTATAATTTTAAATAGAATAGCCACAATTATATGACAAGGCTATAAAAACATCCCTCTCTTTTCCAACTACATATCTGTGTGAGGCCAGATTTTCTTCATCAACATTTATCAAAATAATATATCTTAACAGATTGAATGCAGCAGCAGATGCAACAAGCTAGCTATCTTCTAGTAACAAAAAAGATGTACAAAAAAAGTAACCCAATACCACTCTTCTTACTTAACTATTTTGTTTTGGAAAATTCGTCTATTTTTCATGTTATTTATGTTAATTATAATGGGTTTATTATTGCTGTTTGTCATTGAATAAAAAAATTTTATAATTTCTGATATGGTAAAATTCTGAATGGTATAACCCACATAAATGTACGCTCTTTGGGGTCCTCAATAATTTTTAAGCTAGTGCAGAGGTCCTAAGACCAAAAAGTTTGAGAATGGATGCTCTACTGTCCCAATAGTGATCACTGCTATGAGGAAAAATATAGTAGGAGAGGGACAGAGTGACAGAAGTGACACTTGTGATAGAGTGGCAAAAGAATGCTGCTCTGAGGAGGAGATATTTGAGCAGTCACCAGAATAAAACAAGGGAGTGAGCCTTGCAAAAATCTGGGGTAAGAGCGATCCAGGCCTAAGGAATGAAACGAACAAAGGCCCCGGGGCCTGAACTTGCCTGGCAAGATCAAAAGGCCAGCACAGATGCCAGTGTGGCCCTTGCCACAGCTCTAGTGCTGATGGGGGTCACTATACCCCCTACTGCAACATGACAGGGTGTCCCCTGGGCTTCTCTCCTTGCCTGCCCAGCCCCACCCTTCCATAAAACTTGACACCTCCCCGCCCTGTGCCTTGTCCTGGCTTAGCCGGGGAGGTGCTCTTCTTTGTACGAAGTGCACCAGAGGCCAGCCTTCTCCAGCCCTGGGAGCTCCTGATTTCCCCAGAATAAATGGGCTCTGCGGACATGGAAGATGAGAGTGCCAGTTCTCAACCCAGGCCGTGACTGGTGCCCCATCAGCTGTAAGGTGGGCAGCAAGCAATTTGTTACTAATAAATGGTAAAAAATGTGTTTGCCAGTGATTTGCCTTATAATTTAAAGCAGCACAGCATAAAGCTCGGGGACTTAAATCCTGTCCCAGCTTTGTCACTTACGAGCTTGTAACCTTGGGCAGTAACTTCATTAACTCACTAACTTCAATAACTGTAGTAAGTTAGGAACTGCACCAATTATTGCTTGATTTCATGATATCTTTCCATACCCTGCCCAAAGAACCATATGGAATATCTTAAATGTTAAGTTAAAGTGGATCTATTTTGAGGGTGATGGATAAGTTCACTGTCTCGATGTGGTGATGATTTCATATATAGCTATCAAAGCTTATCAAATTGTTTACTTAAGTATGTGCCGTTTATTGTATGTCAGTCATACCTCAATAAAGCTGTTTAAAAATAAAAGTGAGTTTAGTTTTCTATTGAGACTATTATGCCTCTCCTAGAAATCGCTGGACACCTACACTGGGATGTGTGCCGGATGCCTTCCACTTCCTCTCTGCCTTCTCTGTCCTGCCCTCCACCCTGGGAGGCTGACCTCTGAGACCAAATCAAAGGACTCTTGTCCTTCTGGTTTCTTTCTGGACTCAGCCAGTGGGGAGCCCTGGCAGGAGATGAGAGCGAAGGAAGACAGTGAATGGCCTCAGGCTGCCAGGTTGCTTCAGCCTGGCCACGTATGTCTCTACTAAAAGTCATTCTGGAGGCACCTTCTCTACCTGCCTCTCTCCTTCTAGCTTCTGGTAACCGCCCCTTCCTTTCCTCGCTTATGGCCTAGGGTAGTAACAGATCCCCTGAGTTACTACACTGTCCTTTGTGTTCCCCCGACCTTCCCGCACCTTTTTAAATAGTCCCTTTGTAAATAAACCCTCCCTAAATTATCTTAATTTGAATGTGCCATCTCTTTCCAGTTGGGACCCTCAACGATAAGGCTGGGAAAGGGAAAAGTTGCTCTCAACACACACACACATACCCCAAATCAAAGAAAGATTCTTTCCACGGTTAACATTAGAAGTTTTCTCAATAGCAAACTGATCCTAGCGCTCAAAAACTTATAATGTCCAGTACACTAACTGGTAACCAAGCAAGAAAAGTAAAGATAATATTTTATGGAATCCAAAAGCCCCAGTGGAGATAAATGCTACGTGCAAATTTCCTTGAATGGGAAGCTCATCCATCACATGCAGAGAATTAACTCTGATCGCCGAGAAGCGCTGCCAAGGGACGCGCTGCGATTGGTTTTCTGAAGCCACAGGCACCAGGCCAGGTGGTCAGCTGAAGCCTGCTTCCATTATCCACATTCATATGGAGCAGGGAATTTGTTCTTTTCAGTTCCTGAGAATTGATTTGACAGAGCATTTTTATGGCATTATTGGGAAGTGGAAGCCAAACTCTGGATGACAGCCAAAAACATGTTTTTGGTCTGTTCAAACACTATTTGAAGTAAGGAAGCTGTAATGTGCAGAGAAGCAGTAAACAGGCAAATGTCAGGCTGGTTCCAGCCCAGCCCTTTAGTTTAGCGCAGAACTATAGGGCCACACCATGCTTCGTGGGGCCAGACAGTGACAGGGCACAAATACGAGTCAAAAGAAATAATAAGGGGGCCCTTGTGAATGCAACAGGATGGAAAATATATTCCATTCTGATCCGTCTTCCACGTGCAGAGAGTATATGTGAATGCAGAAGGCCCTGTGTGTATTAATAATATGTGAAAGTCCGAAGGAGTTACCTCCCTATCTGCCATCTGTGGCTATCTCTTCTTCATTAAATCAAATCCTCTCTCAAAAACCAGCTTCTCCTAAGATTTTACTTGGCCATCAAGGATTTGCAAACCCAGTGGAGGTCTGGCTTATTTCTAAGCTCATTCCATGAAATAACCGGTGAGAGATCTCTGTTTACATGTTAGTTGCAGGTAACAATTTCTTTGATCCAGTGAGTTACTCTGTCCTCTGCAGACTCAGGAAACACTAGAAGTATAGTCTCATGAGCTCACTAAGAAAAATCAACCTCCTGCTGGGGGAGAGGAAGATGGTAGCACCCACATCAGAACCTCTTATAATCCCCCACCCAGACATCCAGGCAGTCTATTGATTAATTATCTATTGAGGAGCTCAGAGTACAATATTTCAGCTATACTCATAATAAACTCTCTCAGGGTCTAAGTGAACCACTGCTACACAGGAGGCAATGAATGCAATTTAATCTCAGCAGTATTGAGAAATATCTAGTTGAACAGAAGGGAGGTTCTGTTGGGTCAGTCTGACCTATGCGAGATGAACTCATTTTCTCATTGCAACATATGTGTGCAACACCTCCTGCTACAGTACTTGAAAATTCAGAAAAATGGGCAGCTCTTCCCCTCCATCTTACGCATCAGAGAGCCTGGAAGGAAGCTTGAGCACCGGAACACAATCATGGGACATGCTGGTGGCCAAGTGGGAGTTCAGAATTTCCAGTCTGTGCCTTGGCCAGTACATGACAGGTTTTAACCACAGTCGAATACCACTCGTGCCACTTTAGGGTTTATTCCTGGAGATGCCCCACAGAACAAATGGATAGTGGAAAATCTGCTCCCTCCCCCCTGAAGTCTTCTGAAAAGCAGTCAGCTGCCCATGCTGCTGAAGCCAAGAGCTACAGAACACACATTATGTGCGTTAGGGGCCTGGCTTTGCCATCTGGCCTGGCCCTTCAGGACTCAGGCTGCAGAACTGGCCCATGTCACTGACAGTTTTAAGGGTCTATTTATTTTGGTGTTGATTAGTAAAGAGTGCAAATCTCTCACTAAACCCACAAAGGGATACTGTTTGTAAAAAGAATAAACAAGGCAGAAATGATTTCAGTGTCTTCCTCTGTTTAAATTATAAATCCAACAGTAAGCCCAAAAAAGGAAGGGAAATATGAAGAAAGCTGAGGAAAAAGAATTTTTAGTAAGGGGATATGATAAAGGAACCAAAAACAAAAGATAAGGACCAGAGAGCAACAGCTTCTACTCAAACCGATTCTTGAAATAACAAACCTCATAAATCAAGCAACAAAAAAATGCCCTAAGTCCATTGGTCATATTCTATTCAGTGCCAAACTTATTTTTTATGTCCTCCTTTTCAATTTCTGGGGAGGTAAAAGACATAAAACCTGGAATTGTTTCATTAGAATATCTCTAATACTTGCAGAATAAGGCCTCCAGGCGCGCTGCTGCCTCCAGGGAAAATGCCCTTTGGCTCTGGCTAGGCTTTGGAAGGACTCAACTGTCAGAGCAAGTCACCCTGCTGGAGCCCTGATGTGCTGTAGCGGGGCTTTCTTGTTTGTCACTATGAGGCTAATGCGTCCTTTGT